TGAGACCTGAAACCATAAAAATCCTAGAAAAGAGCACAGGCAGTAATTTCTCTGACATCAGCCTTAGCAGCATTTTTCTGGATATATCTCCTGAGGCAAGGGAAACAAAAGCAAAAATAATCTATTGGGACTAATCCAAATAAAAGACTTCTGCACAGGAAAAGAAACAGTCAACAACACTAAAAGACAATCTACTGAATAAGAGATGTTTTCAAATGACTTATCTGATAAAGGCTTAGTATCTGAAATATATAAAGAACTTATAAAACTCAACACCCAAAAAACAAATAATCTGATTTAAAAATGGGCCAAAGACACGAAGAGACATTTATTCAAAAACATCCAGATGGCCAACAGACATGAAAAGATGCTCAACATCACTCATCATCAGGGAAATGCAAATCAAAACTACAATGGAATAACACCTCACATTGGTCAGAGTGGCTAAAATCAAAAACACAAGAAACAGCAAGTTTTAGGGAGGATGTGGAAAAAAAAAAAAAAACCCTAACGTACTACTGGTGGGGATGCAAACTGGTATAGCCACTGTGGAAAACAGTATGGAGGTTAGTAAAAAATTTAAAAATACAATTATCATATGGTCCAGTAATTCCACTACTGGGTATTTACTGAAAGAATACTAAAACACTAATTCAAAAGGATATGTGCCCCCCTATGTTTATTGCAGCACTATTTACAATAGCCAAATTATGGAAGCAGCCCAAGTGTCCATTGACAGATGAATGGATAAAGAAGATGTGGTGTGTGTGTGTGATGAAATACTACTCAACCATAAAAAAAAATGAAACCTTTCCATTTGCAACAACATGGATGATCTAGAGAGTATAATGCTAAGTGACATAAGTCAGAGAAAGAAATACCATATGATTTCACTCATATGTGTAATTTAAGAAACAAAACAAATGAACAAAATAAAAAAGAGACAAACCAAAAAACAGATGCCTAACTATAGAGAACAAACTGATGGTTATCAGAGGGGGAATGGGTGAGACAGGTAAAGAGGATTAAGAGTACACCTATCATGATGAGCACTGAGTAATGTATAGAATTGTTGAATAACTGTATTTTATACCTGAAACTAATGTAACAGTATATGTTAACTATACTGGAATTAAAATAAAATTTAAAAAATAATAAATGTAATATAAATAGAAGAGCAAATTAAATCTAAAGTAAGCAGAAGAAATGATACAACAATGAGAGGAGAAATCAATGTTAGAGAAAACAGAACAATAAAGAAAATCAACTTAACAAAAAAACTAGTTCCTTGAATATTGATTCAGTGTATAAACCTCTAGCTGAACTGATCAGAAAAGAAAGGTGACACAAATTCCCAATATCAGAAATGTGAGCATCAATATAGATTCTGATATTAAAAGGAAAATAATGAAATATTATGTACAACTTTTTGATAATGAATATGACAATTTTTTTAATTGAATTTGTAGTTAAAATTCCAGGTCAAGGTGACTTCACAGGTAAATTCTGCCAAATGTTTAAGGAAGAAATGATACCAATTCTACAAGAACTCTTCTAGAAAATTAAAGAGGAAGAAATACTTTCCAACTCATTTTGTGAGACCAGCATTACCCTGATTAAAAATATATGTGAGAAACCAATACTACACTGTATGTTAACTAAGTTGAATTTAAATAAATTAATTTTTTTAAGAAAAAATATAGGGGCGCCTGGGTGGCGCAGTCGGTTAAGCGTCCGACTTCAGCCAGGTCATGATCTCTCAGTCCGTGAGTT